CCTGCTGCAAGATTTCTATGGAGTTTGTAGCACATCCATCTTTCTCTCTCCTCCACCATCTGTCACATCAAAAACTTCCAAAGAGTTTCAGAACCCCCTAGAGCTGGTTTTGGGGGCACATGGGATTGCAATGGAGAAGGATTTTACTGAAGCCCACTGTGCCACCTGCTACAGTGTCTGTTCCTCCATCATATATATATTATGTTAAATACATTTCTTTCGTGTCAGGAGGGACTTGAGAAACTGCAAGTCGCTTCTCGTGTGAGAGAATTGGCCGTCTGCAAGAATGTTGCCCACGGAATGCCTGGATGTTTGATGTTTTACCATCCTTGTGGGCGGCTTCTCTCATTTCTCCGCATGGGGAGCTGGAGCTGACAGAGGGAACTCAACCTACTCTCCTGGATTCAAACCGCTGACCTATTGGTCAGCAGTCCTGCCAGCACAAGGGTTTAACCCATTGCGCCACCTGGGGCTCCATATATACATAAACACAAACAATTGTTTGTTTCTGATTTACAACAAGAACACCCCTTTGTAGTCCCTTTCATCGTTCTTTTTTTTAAAAAAAATCACACTAATTAATTGTTAAGATGAATAAATTGGATTTCTTTTGCTGTTTAATTTGGTATTTTTTTCCAACCTAATGTTCCAGTGTTCCCGGTTGTTTCAAGATGGCACAAAAAAAGACAGTTGTAATGAAAACACAGTTTCATTCAAGTTTGATTTGATCTTGTTCCTTAACTTTGACAGCTTGGTTCTGATTGTTCCATCTGTTCTGTGCTTGTCTTTAAGCGAGAGAGTCTTAGGAAAGAAGTAAGAACTCATTCTTCAATGAATTGACACTTCCTTTTGTTTTCAAATTATTCTCATTATCCCTCTCCAATGTTGTTGGAATATATATATTTAATTTCATGAGTATTTTGAAGTCTGCTCTTAGTAAAGTATTCAACTAAGATGGTAATGACAAAGAAAAGGAACATTTTAAGAAGCTCTCGGAGTCCACAGCCCCATCATGAGATTAGACAAATCACATTTGTGGATATTTTGAAGCCATGTGGATTTTGCCAATATTTCCAGTTCTTTCCCAAAAAATAGTACAGTTACACTTGAAGAACATTCCTAAACCATACCCATAGTCATAAGGGTTTATGATAATTTCTAACTCACAGATGCAGGACTAAAAACAAAATGATATTTGCACCAAAACAGAAAATGAATCAATGACTAAATCCCAAGTCCTAATTCGATGCTGGTTTTCAGCTGTAATCTGTGGAGATTTCTAAGTCTTTGTGATAGGGGAAAATATCAATCAAAGTTAACGTTAGATAATCAACAAGCTATCATGGAAATGAATAGACAAATGTGTTTGTCAGGAAGTTGGCATTCAAATTGGCTGAAAAACACAATGCAGGACAGAAATCATTTCCATGTTTCCCAGATTTCTGTGTTCATCAAGGTCTTTTTATTGTATGCGTACCAAATTAGCAGAGCTTTTTTTTTTTTTTTTTGGACAATAACTGCAACCCCCTCCCCTTTTCCTCCATCCAACATGACTCTTAGCTATTTATTTATTTATTTGCTTCATTTTTATACCGCATTTTTCAGCCCTTAACAGGCGACTATGCTGGTTGGGGGTGTCTGGGAGGTTTGCTTGAAGAACAAAGGTGTTCAAAGCTTTCTAGTTTCAAATCTTGTATGTTATGGAAACAATGAGTGCATGCCAAAATTTCCAGATATAGGACAAAATGGGGATTCTTCCTGATTTTGTGTGAAGAAGCTGCTTAGACTAATTCTTATTTATTTGCTACACTTGTACTCCACCATTCTCACCCCGAAGGGGACTCAGGGCGGCCTCACAAAGGCAAAATTCAGTGCCATATTTACATATACATACTGGTAAACAAACAACTGTATTAAAATCAACCCAATTAAAACATAAACTTTAAAACATCAGTTAAAATCACAAAATCCTAATCATGTTCCAGGGCCAATCCAAGTCATCATTCCGTTATGTGTACTCACTTACTGTGCTGCATACTGACCAAAAGCTTGTTCCCACAGCCATAGCTTTAGTTTTTACCTGAAGGTAGGAGGTAGGGGGCTGATCTAATTTCACTAGGGAAGGAGTTCCATAGATGAGGGGCTACCACTAAGAAGGCTCTGTCTCTCATCCCCACCAGTTGCACTTGCGAGGGGGGTGGGACCGAGAGCAGGGCCTCCCTCAACAGTCTTAACCTCCGAGGTGGATCATAGAGGGAGATACGTTCGGACAGGTAAATGGGCCAGAATAGTTCAGGGCTTTATAGGCTAAAGCCAGCACTTTGAATTGTGCTCAGTTGCACACTGGCAGTCAGTGGAGCTGGCGCATCAGGGGGTTCTTGAAATTGATAACTGTACTTAGCTATGCGATAGTGCCTCCACTACATAAAAATCTAGTTGTGGGGAATGGAGCAGGATTGGTTGCATAATATCCAAAGTTCTGTCCACTACTAAAGCAGAACAGCCAGAGGGCTGCGCCTTTTTCCAGCATCTGCTGCCTGAGGCTGTCCCCTGGCTCAGTTTAATGTCAGAGGTGACCCTGACCACTTCTTGGTATATGGTGGACTTAATCACCTCCAGGCTATAAAGTATTATTCTTTGTTTAGCTCTTTCTTGTTGGAGTCTGGTAAAGTGGACTCCGAAGGTTTACATGAAACAAAACTCAAGGTGCCACAAGAAATTTTATTCTTATAAGAATAGTTGGACTGCGAGAAGATCCAACCAGTCCATCCTCCAGGAAATAAAGCCCGACTGCTCATTGGAGGGAAGGATACTAGAGACAAAGTTGAAGTACTTTGGCCACATCATGAGGAGACAGCAAAGCCTAGAGAAGACAACTATGCTGGGGAAAGTGGAAGGCAAAAGGAAGAGGGGCCGACCAAGGGCAAGATGGATGGATGGCATCCTTGAAGTGACTGGACTGACCTTGAAGGAGCTGGGGGTGGTGACGGCCGACAGGGAGCTCTGGCGTGGGCTGGTCCATGAGGTCACGAAGAGTCGGAGACGACTGAACGAATGAACAACAACAACAAGAATAGTTTAAGGATTAAGGATAATTCCAAATGATTGATATTCCAGAGTATTTGCCATTTCTCCTAAAAGTGGTAATAATTTGAATTTGTTCAAAATGCTAAATAGAAATTTCAAACAACCTGGCTATGTTCCACACCTTGTACATGAATTAGAAAATTCTTTATACAAACATGAATCCTTATATAGCCAAAACGGCATCATCCACACACAAGATCAAAGTATTAGCAAACTTTAGTGTCAGGACTCGGTTTCCTGGCCTCGGACATTGGCGCAAAAAACCCACGTCCTGACTAGGAAAACTGATAAGGATGTGCAGCTGGTGGCCTTGGGGGAAAGCAGTTGATAAATGGCGGGGAACATTGCGCGGGATCCTCGGCTGGCGGGAAAGGGAGATTCAATTGTGAGGGAGGGTATAAAAGGGGTTGACTGCGGCTGCATGCCAATCCTGGCTTTCGTTGTGTATGCATTTCCAGTAGTAAAAGTTTCCTGATTGATTACGGATTGGCGTCCTGTGTCTTTTCTGGGAGCGGCTGCTGTGAGTTTACATTTTAGGAAACCCACAGATTTGTAGAAGTACAGAATTTTGAGGAGAGATATCCCTGGAATAGGTAAGGGAAGAGTTGGTGATCATGAAATGTGGACTCCATGAAATACAGCATCCTGAATGAGGGCATGAGCTGAGCAGGAATACTTTACTGGGCTCTCCCCACTTTTGCTTATTCCACTTGAATTGGCTTTAAACAGTGATAATTAACCTTAACTTCAACACAACATTCAAGTGTGTGATACATACTTTAAGACTCGGGGCACTTCCAAACAGTACCTATAATTTGGGGTTAAAAAGGGGAGTGGCCAGATGACGTTTGTGCTAAATGCGCACTCAATTGCAGCAACGGAGGGAAAACCGGATTCAAAAAGGTCCTCTTTTACCCCGGTTCTGGGTGAGAAAAGCAGATTTTCCCATGACTGTGTGGCTCGGCTATCATGTAAAGTTCAGAATTTCCCTCTTTGCCTCTAGGGCAGTGTGTCCCAACCTTTGGCCCACCAGGTGTTTGGGACTGCAACGCCCACAGTTCCTAACAGCTGCTAAGCTAGCTAAGATTCCTGGAGGTTGAAGTCCCAAACACTTGGAGGACCTAAGGTTGGGAAACACTGCTCTAGGGAGACTGCTTCCCGCCCATGCCAGTTTTAAAAATTCCTGATCAGCTGTTCGGACTCTCTCGGAGACACAGCTGGTTTCCAGCTGGTTTCAAGAGCGAAGTGGAGAGCCCTTAGAGGTCCCTGAAAGTGTTTATTTTAAACTTTATAATATCAAATAGATCGTGAATAAGCAATTGGGGAAAGAAGGAAATCTGGCGGCATTTGAAAAAAATCCTTCCATTATGTGCTAATGCGTATATGTGCACATAGGAATCTCTCCATATTTGTATTAGGATATATGCATCAGTGCATAATTGAGTGATTTTTTAAAAAACTTCTGGCGTATGTTCCCCCATCCACCCTCCATTTTATCCCAAGACAGAAAGCCCTGAACTGCAGGTCTGTGTGGGGACTTGCTCTGGGCTCCTGGGTTTGTTTATCCAGCATATTAATCCCGTATTTTGGCACTGTCTAAAAGTGCCCTTGGTTGCACAGACATTTTGGGCTGTAGAGAGAGACCTTTATAGCAATGGAGCAGGTCTCATACAAATGCCAGGGGCTTCCTCTCCAGAACCAGCCAGACTTATACATCTGTCAGTGCCAGCTTCTTCATTTGCTCAAACTGTAATTTAATAATTATATCCTTAGCTAATGTGCTTGTGGCTAACTCATCCTGCCTTTTAAGGCTTAGCCCTACCATCATTAAAACCTTCCCAGTGTGGCAAGTTGCTCTCTAACAAGTCCATTGATCTGGTTTTCTGTTTTGTTTTTGTCTCCTCCTTCCCTAGTGTGTCCATTTTGATCTTTAATACTTCTCGGCAATGCTTTGTTCTGGTGAAGCAGTTCCGTCCAGGTAATCCTATTCCTTTGTTTTACTTAACCTTTTTTCCCTTGTCAGCCAAGGAAGTTGCAGTCAGCCTTGTTCAATTGCTACGGCTCATCTGCCTGTTTGGGAGTTTCCATCCTGAGTTCAGTCAACATCTCCAGCAGCTTTTGCCCTTTCCGTTCAGAAAGAGAGGATCTATGTCATATTCTTCTCTGCTACCTAGAAAAGGTTGGAAAGGTTACTTTTGGGCAACCATGCCCCACATCTTCTGGTCAACATGACAGTTGTTGATGTTGTCATCCAGTGTGGTGTAAATACTTGAGGCTAGGACTCTGGAAGACAGGAGCTCAAAGACAATTCAACCATTAGTATTTCCATAGTTGTCCAAGGAAACCTCCCCCCCCCACCCCCACCATACACACACCCACACTGCATGGAAGAGCCATCCATAAGTGCATAGTGTGTGTATACACACACACATATGCATACATACATACATATACATACTTCTTCTTAGGCAATTCTTTGTAGCCCGAGGATCCCAGGTTTTCAGTTTATCCCAGATTATCTGTCAGTGTGGACTTATATAATCCAGTTTAAAGCAGAAAGCCCGGGGGTCGGATTCTGGAATATAGGGCCTGTCTGGAAGGGCCCTCAATCACGGAAGCCACAGTCTGCAAAACCTGAGTGTGTTGGAGACCTCTCATTCTTGGGGTTTCTATAAGTCGAAGTCAACTTGACAACTTAGTTGCTGTGAGTTTTCAGGGCTGTATGGCCATGTTCCAGGAGCCTTCACTCCTTATGTTTCACTCACATCTATGCCACGCATCCTCAGAGGTTGTGAGGTTTAAGAATGCCTTCCATAGATTTGGGTGAAACGTCAAAAGAGAATGGTTCTGGAATATGCCCATACAGCCCTGAAAACTCACAGCAACCCAGTAATTCCGGCCATGAAAGCCTTAGACCATGCAGTAACAGTTTAGCAGGTGATTTTTTTTTCCTGCTGTTTAACTTTGTACACGTCCAGCAACTGTTAAAAGAACAAAAGCAGGACTAATAATAAAGGTAGCATCACTATAAAGAAGACTGACAGTAATAATGCTCTGTCTTTTAACAGCCTGCCCAACGACATAGAAACCGAACCAATAGTACAGATAGAATCCATTCCTTCGTGTTTTCTTTGATGTTATTATTTGGCTTTTAGCGTGTTCTTTAGGAACAAATTACCACAACAGCTGTTTCTAGATTAATGTAAAAAGTCTGTAGCAAATTCCACCCAGCAATCTGTGCAGGAGGGAGTATATGTTCAAAGAGGGTGTCGGCGTTCAAACAAACATGCGTGCTTTCCATAACTGCCAAAACAGCAGCTGAATTGACAGGTTGGAAAACTCATAATTAAGCACATGGTACATCATGTGCAGCCCAACGTCTCAGCAAGTATCAGCGAATACTGTGAAATACACATGTTGGCTGACAAAAGGAAGGTTGCACTGAGACAAGAAGTTGCTTCCAAAAAAGAAGTAACGCTGGAGGTGGGGAAAAAAATCAAACTTTGTAAAAGTCCTCTGTTTTGCTAAACAACCTTAATCGATCCCTCCTTTTCCAAAATAGGCAGAGCATTAGGTACTTCTTTCCATTTTAAGTGCAGCTATTACTTCCTAGTTGTGTGCTCAATTATAAGAAATTCAGATGTGCTTACCGCATTAAGTGGCTTCAGATTATTTATACGCATGCCTTTAAGACTCTTTAAAATCTTTTGCAACGTAAAAGCAAAGTGCTGGGTGTTATTAAAGTGTATTTACTTAATGGTTCTACCATTAAAGTCTGGGGTGGTATCGGACAAAAGGATAATAAATGACTTAGATAAAGTAAAGTTAAAGGTTTCCCCTGATGTTAATCTGGTCCTGTCCAACTCTGGGGGTGGTGCTCATCTCCATTTCTAAGCCAAAGAACCGGCATTATCCATAGACACCTCCAAGGTCATGTGGCTGGCATGACTGCATGGAGCGCCGTTACTTTCCCGCAGAAACGGTACCTATTGATCTACTCACACTTGCATGTTTTCAAAGTGGTAGGTTGGCAGAAGCTGTGGCTAACAGCAGGAGCTTACCCAGCTCCCTGTACTCGTACCACCAACCTTTCAGTCATCAAGTTCAACAGCTTATTCTAGGATTATTAAATGATTTATTCTAGGGTTATTATAGTTTCATCTTTTTCTGAACATTCCCTTTTTTAAAAAAAAAAATGCGTGTAAGTCTTTCATTATTAGTTGATCTAATTTACAGGTACAATCTTTCTTTATTTGTTTTAAGCAAACAAATAAATTCAAGCAAACGATTAAACTGTGAGCCCAGGTCATTTTAACTGGTGAAGACAAAGTAGCAGTGTTATAAAAATCCAGCAAGTCCAAGGTGTTTTTCACATTACACAGTTGTAATACTTTTTAGTATTTTTACCCTGTCCAATCAGATCTTGGGATTTCTAGTTTCACTGATTTGTCAAAAGTAAGTCATGCCAGACTAATCTGATCTCTTTTTTCAATAGAGTTACAATCTGGGTAGACACAGGGAACGCCATAGATGTAGCGTACCTGGATTATTTATTTATTTATTTACTGCATTTTTATGCTACCTTTCTCAGCCTGAAGGATTTCAGTAATGCCTTCGACAAGGTCCCCCATGACCTTCTGGCAAACAACTAGTCCAATGTGGGCTAGGCAAAACTACGAATAGGTGGATCTGTAACTGGTAAAGTGAATTAACCCAGAGGGTGATTCTCCCTAATTCTTCCTCTTCATCCTGGAAAGAAGGGACGAGTGGAGTGCCATCAGCAGGGTTCCGTCCTGGACCCGGTCCTGTTCAACATTTTTATTACTGACTTAGATTAAGAATTAGAAGGCATGATCATGAAGTTTGCAGATGACACCAAATTGGGAGGGATCGCCAGTACTCCAGAAGATAGGAGCAGAATTCAGAACAATCTTAACAGGTTAGAGAGATGGGCCAAAACTAAAATAATGAAGTTCAACAGGGACCACTGCAAGAGACTCCACTTAGGCAGGAAAAATGAAATGCAAAGATACAGAATGGGGGACACCTGGCTCGAGAGCAGTACGTGTGCAAAAGATCTTGGAGTCCTCGTGGACAGGAAGGTGAGCCAACAATGTCATGTAGCAGCTTAAAAAGCCAATGGGATTTTGGCCTCCTGCATAAATAGGAGGAAAGTCATGCTATCCCTCTATTCTGCCTTGGTCAAACCACAACTGGAATCACACTGTGTCCAATTCTGGGCACGGCAATTGAAGGGAGATGTTGACTCTAAGTTGGAATGTAACCAGAGGAGGGCGACTCAAATGATCAAGGTTCTGGAGAACAAGTCCTATGAGGAGTGGCTTAAAGAGCTGGGCATGTTAGCCTGCAGAAGAGAAGGCAGAGAAGAGACATGATGAGGGCCATGTATAAATACGTGAGGGGAAGTCATTGGGAGGAGGGAGCAAGCTTGTTTTCTGCTGCCCTGGAGACTAGGACGCAATGGAACAATGGCTTCCAACTACAGGAAAGGAGATTCCACCTGAACATTAGGAAGCACTTCCTAACGGTGAGAGCTGTTCAGCAGTGGAACTCTCTGCCCCAGAGTGTGGTGGAGGCTCCTTAGAATCATAGAGTTGGAAGAGACCTGATGGGCCATCCAGTCCAACCCCCTGCCAAGAAGCAGGAATAGTGCATTTAAAGCACCCCTGACAGATGGCCATCCAGCCTCTGTTTAAAAGCCTCCAAAGAATGAGCCTCCACCACAGGATATCAGGATTATAAATCTCAGGATTATAAATGACGTAGCCATGGAAGTTGAAGTAGTATTAAAATGATATCATGTGTGTAATGTGAAAGTCCCCCAATGAAATATCTTGAGATCCAAAAAGGGTTTCCCATTTTTCTCTCATGTCCGAATATATGATATGTATACATGCTACTTTTTTGAGTAAAGAACAGTGTGCTTGCCTGTATAGGTATTGTATTGCTGGTGTGTTAGGACCAGTCAACCAACCATTAGACAAAATGAGGTGACTGTCTCAGGCTGCAGATTTTCTTATTAAAGAGAAAGTCAATGTCTGTGTATTGATCGCTTCATTCATATTTTACTTGCCAGGGAGAGGGAATCGTGGGCTTTTCTATATTACATACAAAAATAACTTGGCTGATTTTGAGTAGGTGGAGTCGCCATTTGCTTCTCTGCCTCTGGCAGCTAAATATCTTGGGTTGGTCGTTGTGGATGTTTCACTTGCTCTGTTTGTCCTTAAAATATGAGCTAAGGGGCTGTGCGTGTTCTAGAAGATGACAAGACACTGAGTTTTTCTTTCTCATGTTTGTCAGCTGTCTACATGTGTGAGATGGAGCGGAAGTGTCCTCAACAATTTGAGAGTAAAAGTCAAGAGAGCTGGCGCCTCCTTTCAGATTGCTTGCCTGCCTCAGAAGGAATAACATATGAACTCTGTGCCGGTATCGTAGACAAGCCAGAGCTGTCTTTGGAAGAACTTGCTTGCAAAGAAGTTATGGAAGAATGTGGCTATGAGGTCTCTGTCGCCAACTTGAAGAGGATTACTTCATACAGGTAAGAAGGTAATGGGTGTGAGCTTTCTGAAGGTATAAACAACCATTGGCAGCTGGTGCTTTCCAAAGAATGGGCAGTGAATCTACTCTGGATCTTAATCTAAATCTATAAGAAGCTATTCAAGCTGTTGAATCATCTGCTCCAATGGATATGATGCAAATATCCATATCATAGCCTACCAGATATTTTGACATGGCAGCCATCTTGGTGGAGTGGGTTGAACGCTGAACTTGGAGAAGGCGATCCTGCAGGTAACCTGGACCCAAACCATGTGTGGCTTTAAAGGTCAAAGCCAACACTTTGTACTTTGCTCGAAAACTCATTGGCAGCCAGTGGAGTTATGCTCTAGTAGTAATCTGGCTGCCATGTTTTGAACTAATTGGAGTGTCCAAAGTTGGTACAGAGGTGACCCAATGCACGGTTTATTGCAAAAGTCCAACCATGAGGTTACCAGCATGTGCACTACCATCTTTAGGCCTTCAAATTCTAAATGGAACTAAATTTTGAAAAATACGAAGGTTAACCAGAAAGTAAGGTTACAAGTTTTTTTTAAAAAAAATACAAAAATGAATATATTTTAATAGAACTTACATGGATTATAGTATAGGTATTACATTATTTCTTCCACATAATCACCATTTAGTTCAATAGATTTTGCCATTTGTGGGACGAGTTTTTGATGCCTGTGTCATAGAAGTTTCCCTCCGCCTTTTTCAGCCAGTTCGTCAACCTCATCAGTGTCGGAAAAGTGTTTTCCACCAGGTGTTCCTTCAGTTTAGCGATCTAAAGAGTTGGAAGAGACCTCATGGGCCATCCAGTCCAACCCCCTGCCAAGAAGCAGGAATATTGCATTCAAATCACCCCTGACAGATGGCCATCCAGCCTCTGTTTAAAAGCTTCCAAACAAGGAGCCTCCACCACACTCCGGGGCAGAGAGTTCCACTGCTGAACGGCTCTCACAGTCAGGAAGTTCTTCCTCATGTTCAGATGGAATCTCCTTCTTGTAGTTTGAAGCCATTGTTCCGCGTCCTAGTCTCCAAGGAAGCAGAAAACAAGCTTGCTCCCTCCTCCCTGTGGCTTCCTCTCACATATTTATACATGGCTATCATATCTCCTCTCAGGCTTCTCTTCTTCAGGCTAAACATGCCCAGCTCCTTAAGCCGCTCCTCATAGGGCTTGTTTTCCAGACCCTTGATCATTTTAGTCGCCCTCCTCTGGACACATTCCAGCTTGTCAATATCTCTCTTGAATTGTGGTGCCCAGAATTGGACACAATATTCCAGGTGTGGTCTAACCAAAGCGGAGTAGAGGGGTAGCATTCATCCCAACCATAAAAAGTCAACAATTCTTGTGTTGCATAAGCGGTGTGCAGGCGTGCATTGTCATGAAGGAGACAGATTCCCTCCGTCAGCATCCCACGACGTTTGTTTTGGATGGCTCTGCGAAGTTTCTTCATGGTCTCACAATATATCTTATATTCATTTTGTCACATGTGCTTTGACATTACGTCCTCTTCGTAAACTGAAATGATTTTGTGATGAATCCCGGTAGCGTTCATACGCATAGCATTTAGGTAGCGTATTACAGTGCGAACTTCGCACTTGGAGAGCAATTGAATGAGGATGCTCATCTCTAACCTTCACCACAACCCCAGTCAATGAGCTACTGACGACTGGCACTGCTCGTTTGCTTCCGCTGGCTTTCCACTACACAACAGTGATACTAACTTCCCCCGCAAAAATTCCCCGCGAGAGCTACGTGTCTTGTAACCTTACTTTCCAGATAACCCTCATAGTATAATTTGAAACATACACTTATAAGATTTAAAAGACAACTAAAACAATGCAGCACCCTCTTGCAAGCTTTCTCCTTTAAAGTCTTCAGTTCTAAAACCTCATCTAACTAAATAAGTCTTTACCTTCTAAGAAAAGAACAGCAAGGAGAAGTGCATTTTAGTCTCCCAAGGGAAGTGCTATAAAATTAGGAGACAACACCCAGAAGACCCTGTTTCAACTTCCTGCTAACTGAACCTTTAAAGATGGTTGCAAGAATGAAATATTCAACAATTTACATCCTTGTCCAGTTCTATGTAAACATACAGCTGAATTACTAAGATTCAGAAGGTTTGGAAGAAGGTTCTAGAGTGGTTCTAGAGTGCCAAAAGCAATGAATTACGCAGGTACACAATAGGCAAACTTTTGTTAGTCCCAACATTGGTTAAAGAGTTAAGGGACTGTTTTCTATCACTTTTGATGTTTCTGTATTGTGATATAAAAGCCAATATGTGTATTTGGATATACATTTTGTTATAATTGTATTATGAGACTATTATACTAAGAATTTGATTTAGCTTTGTTTTGGGTTTTGTTGTTGTTGTTTTTCTAAAATGTAAATTGAATCAGATCTGAGAAGAGAAGTGTGTGTGTGACGGGGGGGGGGGGGTATGTCTAGTATTTGGAATTAAGCAAATGTCAAGAATTAAATAATCTAAAATGAAAATGTGCTCCTAGCCTTCTGCCTCCCCAGATTGTAGCCTTGTGAAAAAAGCATCTGTTCTCAGACTTGGAAATGCATGTTGAAATGCCTGAAGAAGTGGCAACTCTAAAAGAAGGAAAACTTTGCTTTGCTTTTGCCTCTTGACGACTCTATTGAAGCGGACACTGAGATGTATTTTCTTTTTTTAAGAAAAGAAAAAGAAAGCTCAGAATTAAATCCAAACCCACAGCTGTCAATCCTGGCAAATGTCCCTTCCTGCTGGATTAATGAGCTTTGGCGAAGGGGAGGGGAGTGGAAGAGCGGGGATGCCTCTTGCTACTCCCTGGAGCCAGATTAGAGGAAGGGGCTTGCAAGATGAAAAGGTGCTTTCTTCCCCATGAAAGAAAGGCACACTTCCGTGGGAATAACACTCCCTGTGCTCAGCAGAACTGGCTGCCAGGCAAACACAAGATCAGGCCAGAATTTGTCTCTAGCATTTTGATCATCTATTTGTCAATGTGCCATTTGTACATCGATGCTGAAGGAAATAATAGCATGTGGTGCTATTTTAATCCTGTATATACTGATGTATAAGTCGACTTCATGTGTAAGTTGAAGGCAGGTCTGGGGCCCAAAATGTCAGATTTTGATATGACCCACGGAGACGTCAAGGGTATAAAGGTGAAAGGAGCCCCCAGTGGTGCAGCAGGTTAAACCTCTGAGCTGCTGAAATTGCTGATCAAAAGGTAGGTGGTTCAAATCTGAGGAGCGGGGTGAGCTCCTGCTGTTAGCCCCAGCTTCTGCCAATCTAGCAGTTTGAAAACATGCAGATGTGAGTAGATCAGTAGGTACTGCTTCTGCAGGAAGCACCACATGTTACTTCAGCAGTCATGCTGGCCACATGACCCACGTGTCTACGGACAACGCCGGCTCTTCGGCTTAGAAATGGAGGTGAGCACCACCCGCCAGAGTCAGACATGAATAACTTAATGTCAAGGGAAACCTATAAAGGTGAAAGTTCCACATTCTTTTTTGATAATAATAATTTTATTTTTTGGAATGACCAAAAATTCAAATATTGCCAGCTTTCAGAATTAATAGTCTGAGATTATACAGCTTCAAAAAGGAGGACAATATGGTTGAGCAACAAAAAGCAACTAAACTTCTTGAGCAACAAAAAGCAACTAAACAAAAAGCATCTAAACTAGTTCAAATGGATTATAAGCTCCAGAGTTGTTCACTACTTCTGCGGCAACAGGTTCACCAGTTGCTAAGGAAAATATAAACTGGAGTAGCCATTGCTTATGTGAATGTGTCTCCCTTTGATGGCTTCCTGCATGGCAGAAAGAATAGAGTGGGCATGCCCACTGGAGCAGTGCTTAGGAGTACGTCATACCACTCCATGTTTCACAGATGTAAGCATTGAGGGGTATGTAAACATTGATATGGCTAAGCAACATCATGACCTGGTCAACATGGAAAGGGCTATTACTGAGAATGAACAAAAAAGCTAGAAAAGCTTTTGCCTGAGCCAACTGGGAAAGGCAAGATCTCACTCGTAGTCCTTTTCTTCTACTGAGTTAATTGAATGACAGCTACTACTTGCACTTTTCACTCAGTTGGAAGCAATTGAAGAAGCTGAGGACAAAGGGATAACCCTTTGTCCTCAGTTTCTTCAACTGCTTCACAACTGGAAGGAGGACAGGTTTTTTTTCCCATGTCAGGAGCGACTTGAGAAACTGCAAATCACTTCTGGAGTGAGAGAATTGGCTGTCTGATAAGACGTTGCCTAGGACGCCTGGATGTTTTGATGTTTTACCATCCTTGTTGGAGGCTTCTCTCATGTCCCCACTTGGGGAGCTGGAAGTGACAGGGAGCTCATCCGCACTCTCCCTGGATTCAAACCTCCAACATGTTGGTCTTCAGTTCTGCTGAAACAAGGGTTTAACTCATTGTGCCACTGGGGTCCTAGGAGGAAAGTGAATCTGGTACAATGGGAAAGCATCAGAAAAGGTGGAATGGCAGAGAATTAAGGCTGGAACATTTGAAAGCATTGGCATAGATGAATGTTTGTTTGTTTGTTTTTCGGGGAGGGGGGCTGCTACATTATGCTAAAACTAATTTCCCTAAACTGTGCTTATATAATGCCAACTACCTGCAAATTGTGAACACGTTTCCAAAGCATATGAAATTGTATACCAAGACTTCACTTCATATTTAATTTTATCAATAGGCTGGCTTTGACGTTTGCCAATATATAGTGCTAATGTGGCATCGCGTTGTACTCTACGTGGTAATCTATGTACAAATGCCATTTTAACCTTAGCGCATTGTTGTTAATGGCTGGAGTACAATGAAATGCTTTATAATTAGCCAGATCACCTGCTGGTACACCTGTCTGCAGATACTATAATATGAAATAATTTTGTCTCAATCGCTCCATCTGTGTGTGTGTGTTTGTTTCAGTCACCTGCTACATACAATCTCAGAACAGTTTAAAGCTCCAAGGAAAATACCTTGGGAAATTACCTTAATTGTTAATCACTTGACCCATTATGGAAATACATGGATTTGGAATGCAGAACAAAGAATGGCATGATCCTGGATTTGCTGATAAGCATCGTATCAGCCCCTCTTTCATTCACTCCTTCCCTTTCCCCCTTGAAGTAAAATATTTAGATATAGATAAACAGAATATCCTTTCACCTAAATTATGGTTCATTTTGTGGAATAATAAATTTTATGCTTTCAGGGAAGCTTTAAACTTCCCTGAAAGCACAGGGAAAGGAATAAATATATCTCATTATGTGAATAACAAAGCTCCTTGTGTTCAAACCTTTGATCAGTTTGGTCGCCCTTCTCAGGACACATTTTAGATTGTCAATATTCTTCTTGAATTGTGGTGCCCAGAACTGAACAGTGTTATTCCAGGTGACCAAAGCAGAATACAGTGGGACTTCGACTTCCCTCTGTCTAGACATTATACCTATTGATGTAGCCACGAATCACTTTTTTTTTGCTGCTGCTGCATCATAATGTTGACTCATGTTCAGTCTGTGATCCACTAAGTTTGATGAGGACATAAAATAAATCTAAGTCTAAAGTCTATCTATTTATGTTTGTTTGCTTTGTGTGCCTAAAGATCTGGAGTTGGTGTGACGGGATCTAAGCAGACATTATATTATGCCGAAGTAACTGACGAGATGAAAGCCAGCGAAGGAGGTGGTCAGCCGGAAGAAGGCGAGCTGATTGAAGTTGTGGAAATACCTCTTCAGGACTCCATGAATTTTGCATTTGATGAAACCTTCCCTAAAACAATGGGCGTCATCTTCAGCTTCATGTGGTTCCGGACCAACATCGCCCCGAAGTTGCTAAAAAAATAAGAATAAGCACTGAATTGTGTTAGGTGCATGGGAAATAAAATTAGAAACAGGGGGTGGGGAAAATAATCAAATATTTAAGAAACTCGATTCATGTAAGTGAGACGCCTCCTTTAGAAGAGTTTCACAAAGAAAGGAATGGCAATTAGAAACTTGAAACCATTTGGAAAGGGATTCAGACAAAGTTGTTGCCATCATTTGTTGCCACTGGTGTCAGCCCAGCACACATGCATATTATATAGGCAGCAAGTTTTGACAGCACTTTTTTTTATCAGTGACTGGTGAAAGCACACAGCTTCACACATGTTGGAATAGACCTTAGTTTGATATAACCAAACCTGGTTACAGAGGTGAACGTACAGTTTCAACTCCATCTTTGTGAAGCTGTGGCCATTGGGCCCATAAGCATGTCAACTTGCATGGCACACTTCCCCAGAAGGAGGTCTCCTCCCTACATGCCTGTGAGGGGAAGTGTCCCACAGCATGTGTGGGAGCTTGGGAATCCTATAACATGGCTCCTCAGACTGCTTTCTCAAGGCTTCACGTGGGGTTAACTGCATAACTATGTGGTAGTTTGAGAAGTCTGCCACCACTGCTAAAAGTGGTCCTTCAGCCATTCAAATAAAATAAAATAAATGGAATTTTTAAACCAACTAATTTCCATGTAAATATCCTATATGTTGCACTAGGGCGCTGGAGCCTCTTTCCACCACAAACTACGCACTGTCCAGTTGATCCAATGTAAGAGTTTATTAAAAGCAGAGTATAATAAAAGCTGACTATATGAAAAGCAAGCAAATATAAATAAGGGAATCAAAGTCCAAGAGGTTATTTCCATAAAAGCCAAAGGTCCAAAAATTAATACAAAGAAAGTCTCTAAAACAATTCCACTGAAATATTCCAAGACAAGGTACATGAATCTCAAGGCAGGCAAAACTATGCCTCAAGACCAGAACACAGGAACAGCTTGAAAACTTGAATACATTAATTACACGGTACATGAAACCAAGAGCTTTTCATCTGAATGCAGCGTTGCTCTCACAAGGATTATACCAGCATAAACCACTTTTTAAAAGCCAGAATCCTTCCCATGAGATCATATATCTTGCACCTGCCTCCCCGTTCCTTATCTCTAAATCGCTTGGAGAAGCAAGTCTGTCTTAATTGCAGGCCATTTTCTCAACTCCAATCTCTTTGACCTCAACAAACACTCATCTCACACATTTCCCTATCTGCACTTCTGGCAAATTCTCATGGGAGCTGAGATTGCCTTCACTGTTCTCTTGAGAACTGCCAGGAGATTGCAAAACATCTCCCTCTGGACCGCTTCAAGTCTCCGCTGGGCCCTCTGAATCTCTCCCAGTATCTCCTCTCCCCTCATCTGAGCACTCAGAATCTGACCAGATTCTGACCAGAAACACTACATGGAAAATTTCAGTTGCCTGGTTTTTCATGAACTAGAAACTATGGCTTTAAAAGAAATCTCTATTCCATTATTGTAGATGTTAATTTAAAAGTAACATGGAAGAAAATAGAAGCTGTTAATTTGTTTGATCGTAGTGATAGGTTGTCATGTACCTGCCATCTTAAATGTTAGAGACAGACAAAATTCCTCTTTAAGAAGAGCAAGCAGCATAGGAATAAATGTTCAGTTTTTTCAGTGGAAGGATATGAGCTACTGAATCTCAACTATCAGTATTGGGACCAGTGTATGGTATGCTTAATGAATAAAGTATTTTATCCTTTCAGCCTAGAAGCCAAATACTGAGAAATTCAAATCAAATAAAAAGCACCCTTCTTTACGCAGTAAATGTGAATTCACTGCCATATGTTTCCAGCATAGATGGCTTTTCAACGCCTTGGATAAATTTATGGAGGTTAGTGATATCATAGCTGTTAGTCAAGATAGCCATGTTTCACATGTATCAGAATAACAAAGAGTGACTAAACTATTGATTATTTCACAGATCTATTTGGGGTGGGACACTTGTGGTTCTCTTGCAACCTACCAAAGTACTATATGATCTGGTAGTAGTTTCAGCTGGACTGTAAGCAGACCACCTCATTTTGTTATTATACAGTGACAAATGTCTATCAGGCCCATTTGATATAGAATATGACTTTCAACTCTATTGTTAACTCCACTTGGAGTAGACCCATTTAACAAATGCTATTTATCTGTGCGTCAACTCACTAATCAACAATTGAGTCCACTTGAAGTAGACTCGTTTAGCAAATGCTATTTATCTGTGCGTCAACTCACTAGTCAACAATTGAGTCAAGATAGGATTAAAAAATAGATTTCAAATCTGTATTGTTGAAGGCTTTCATGGCCAGAATCACTGGGTTGTTGTAGTTTTTTTCGGGCTATATGGCCATGTTCTAGAAGCATATGGCCATGTTCTAGAGGCCTCTAGAACATGGCCATATAGCCCGAAAAAACCCACAACAACCCAGATTTCAAATCATCATTCAGCCTACAGAAAATGCCAACCAGAATCCTGCAGGACCTTCATACGTACATTGGATTTTGTTTGTTTTGTCTGATTCAAAACATTTGCATTCAGTTCAGGATTGCAGATTAGGAGCTGTGCTCCTATCATCCCTCTGCAGGTTGATATACATTTGGCTGTGTTTTCATTTGCACACTCTGGTACGCATTCATTTGACCCACTTTGCCATTCACCCCAAGGATTGCACAGCACAATCCATACAGAAATCTACCTGTGGATATTTATATCATGCAAACCTAAGGCAGGATGCAAACTGCTACGCATTTGTTGTATTTCTTACTGTTTAACACTCATATAGACTCATAGAAAACACAGTTATGTTGCCAAAACAGTGGTAGCTACAGTATACTTGAAGAACCCCAGATTTGTAGGAACACATATAGACCTGCATAGCCTTGGCAATGTGGGGGGCTGAGTACATTCCTGGACTTCACGGGGATATGTGAAACCTCAGAAGAATAGCAAACTCTTCACAGAATGGAAGAGAAGGTAAAACCCAGAAGCATATCTAGATCAAAATCAAAATGGAAAAGAGAGGAGAAATATATTGTAGGATGTATATATATACAGGAAAATAGTAGAAAAACAATATACTGAAAAAATTGCAACAGCACAACAACAGAGAGGAAACAAGCCACATCTATTCACCTTAATCCATCATTGATTGGCCTTTTTCTCCTTCCCCCTTCCTAATATGTTTGGTATTTATAGACCCTAAGTTTGTTTGGAACACCTAACAATTTGGGTTGCTCTAGGATTGGGTTGTTCTGGTTTTTTTTGGGCTGTATTGCCATGTTCTAGAAGCATTCTCTCCTGATGTTTTGCCTGCATCTGTGGTAAGCATCCTCAGAGGTGCTTTAGGATTATTTATAAACAGAAGTTCTGCTGTTGTGGCTCTTATTTATTTTCCTCCTCCAGCCATAGCGTAGTCCTTTTCTTTCCCTCCTTTCACAACCAGAAGAAGCAAAATAGACCCTGGGGAGTAAAGCAGGAATAGCTCACGTCAATTAATTTACAGAAATCAAAGAATTCAGGTTTTCCTGGTACACAGTTTGATTGCCCTTAAAAAAATTAGAACATGCTTTGGCACCAAATAAGACATTTTAAGGATTATCTGTTGCCCAGATGTTGCATCTTCATAGTTCCTCCTGCATTTGGAACCACAGGAATTGGTTCATAGGGTTCAATCTCATCTATTTGAGAGCAGCAACCCTGTAAGTCTTGCGTGCCATTTCAAAATTATTTTATATTAGCAAGCAGTGGAGGCTATTTTGTAAACTGTTGTCGTGTTCAGTTGCAGCTAGCTTTTGCATAGTGTTGTGAATGTTACAATGCACATAGCTTTGGTCAGTTTGAATGTTGAAAGATACAAGCTCTCCAAATAAATATTAAAAAAAATGTTAAAATGCCAAAAGAGTATCTGCATGGATCCAGTTTCTTGCATTCTTGCTTCCTGCTCTCATTTTCTGGAATGATCCCTTGGAATCAGTATACTGATTGCTAAGACTTCAGCATAGGAATCGCAGCCTTTAGTAATACTAGAGAAGGTGACATGTCAGTAATAATAGCATCCATCCTCTCCAAAACACAGGAAACCCAAAAGGTTCTTTTTGTGAAATGGAGACATCCCATCCTGGTTGCTGTGCACACGCAATCCTCAGCGTGCTGTTCACTCGCTGTGTTAGTATTAATTACCATGGCAATGCTATCTATGTCAGTGGGGCGATTTAAAATGCATGTTCCAAAGCAACTAATCTCAAGAGATGTTCTGCCAACTAAGGCCATGTGGCTGGGATGTTGTTATTTCTAACAGATCATGCCACAGGGAATGGCGGATGGATGCGGCACTAAAATCAAAGTTCACTGCTGCATAGTGGATGATATTCATATTTCCACACTAATGAAGTGTTTATGAGAGGCAGAAAGAGGGTTATCTTAGACAATCTAACAGTTAGGTTGTAATCTGCACATCAGGCATGTAGCCGGGGGGGGGGGGGGGCTTGAGGGGCTTCAGCCCCCCCCCCCCCCAAATCTCCTGGGCCGCAGACAAAAGGTGAAGATCCCTTACTTACTTAGGCAATCCTTCGTTGGACGAGTAGGACAGTCTTCCAGGGTGGGTCCATAGGTGACTGTGGAGCCCTATTCTTGATCTGCATCATCTCCCGCAGTGAGGGCATTGGTTTCCAGGTGGAAGGTGGTCCCAGTCGGGGTTGGCTTGATGCGCCTTCCTCTTGGCACATTTCTCTCTTTCGCCCTCCATTCGTGCCTCTTCGAATTCTACAGCACTGCTGGTCACAGCTGACCTCCAGCTGGAGCGCTCAAGGGCCAGGGCTTCCCAGTTCTCAGTGTCTATGCCAGAGTTTTTAAGGTTGGCTTTGAGCCCATCTTTAAATCTCTTTTCCTGCCCACCAACATTCCATTTTCCGTTCTTGAGTTCGGAGAAGAACTGCTTTGGGAGACAGTGGTTGGGCCGGTCCAGAGGAGTTGATGGCGAAGGACCATCACTTCAGTCCTGGTGATCTTTGCTTCTTCCAGCACGCTGACATTTGTCCACTTGTCTTCTCAAGAGATTTGCAGGATTTTTCGGAGGCAGCATTGATGGAATCGTTCCAGGAGTTGCATGTGACATCTGTAGACAGTCCACGTCTCGCAGGCGTATAGCAGGGTTGGGAGGACAATAGCTTTATAAACAAGCACCTTGGTATCCCTACGGATGTCCCAGTCCTCAAACAAACTGTGCTTTATTCGGAAAAATACTGCACTTGTACAAACACACTCCAAAGCCATTTTGCATTCCAGACAGTTGGTCAGGCAAGCAGCACAATAGCACCGGTGGCCCACTCTGTTTCCATGATCTTCACCTGACTACCGACTTCCACATTGGATGGAAATGCCCAAATACTCCCATAAGGAAACTTAATACATATGTCAATCATATCCAGGATACCAGCCTGTATTATTTTTGAAAAAGACAGATGGTGATGAAAAATTCATGTAAATATACACAGATGCATATTAAGTGGCTTAATTCATATTTGAACACTTTATAGGAAATCGTGCATTATTTTGTCCTGTTAGTTGGTGTTGGTGTTGAGGGGATAGGTCCCCAACTGATGACATATGCAGGAGACAAGATGGAA